TGAATCACTAGTTGTGTAATTGCTTAAATGTTTTCAATGGATCAAATTCATGTAATTAATGGTCAATTTGAGATGCCTTGACTCCTCATGTTCCTTCTCCCTTCCAATTAGATCCTAAGATGTTTGCATTTGAATCATTAATTGATCTTTATTATTTTGGGGACCTTTGAAGCTCTTTGATGATTCATTTTGACGTTGATTGTGATTGATTAGTGGTCATTATTGGGTCCTAGAAATGCAAGTTTAAACCATTCATGGACCTTCACTCACTCTTGGATTCTTGAGATATGATGTTTGCTTGAACTTTATTTTTACTTGGGGACCTTTGAGTTTTTAAATGCTTCAATTAGGTTCAAATGATTGAGTAGTGCTTGCTTTTGGGTCTTTAGTAGATGTTATGCTTGGGGATTGGATGATCATGCCTTTGCCTTGGTCTTTAAGTAGTTTTGACTTCATTGAGTTGCAATTGAGGGAAAGTTTGATGTTTTGGTGGATCCAAATTGTTTAGTTTATATCTTATCACTAAATTGGTGCATTAATCTTTTGTTTTTGGTGATTTTAGCCTAAGCTAGTCTTTTCTTGGGTGACTCTAGCCAAGTTGAGTTTGTTTACTTCCTTAGTATCACCAACGGGGAGGTATAATCTCTTTTACCCCTTTTGTTTCTCTCCTATGTGGACTAATGTGCTAAGTGAAATTTGCATGTCTATTTCGCTTTCCTAGTTTTATTTTCATTACTTTCATTTATTTCATTTACTTTTGCTTTTTATTCAAGTTATTCTTTATGGGGTATGTGTACACCTCTTGGCTTGTAATAGATAGGGCTGTGGCGAGCAATTTGGTCCATTTTCCCTTTCCCCTTTTGTTTTAGTTAGTGAATGTAATAGGTTCATTAGTTTGGTCGCATGCCTACGTGTTAAGTGTTTAATCGCTTTATTAGGTCTTTGCATCTAGTCAAGCATGCTAAGTGTTATGTGCTACGTGTTTATAAGTGATTCGCATGTCTACCCGCTTTTTATAGTGTGGATGAATGGAATGGATGAATGTACGTCACCACACTAGTCCAACGCTAGTTGTGGCTTCTTTTATCGTTTCCACTAGTCCAACGCTAGTCGGAATTCATAGAATGGGCTAGTCCAACGCTAGACCCTTAGGGTTTTTCCCTTGTTAGTACATCATTTGCTTGTTCACCACATATCACGCATTTTCCTTAGTTTTATCATTTGGCATGAGCCTCGAACCCCTTTTCCCCTCACTTTAGGTTTTGCATCTCATGCTAGCTATAGGGTTCATTTTGCTTGAGTGTCCCCTTCCGATAAGGAAAACGAGCGAGTGTGGCTACTCGATAGCCTTAGCACGCTAGTTTTGCCTTCTAATCAAAGGGAAAATAGAAGTCGAAAAGTTAGGAGTCAACCCCCGTACCCGACTTGTTGCATTCCCCTAGGGTCATACTTTCATTTTTATCACATCCATACACTTTTAACCACAATTTTGCACATTTCTCAAACCATATTTTTTTTACTACATTTTACCTATCACTTGCTTATTTTCACTTCACAAATGAAATTCCACTTTACCTTATATATCTATTATTCTATTTTCACACACTTGCACACAAAAAACACTTGAATTTTATACAATTTCACACATGCACCTTTTTATACATTCGCACACTTGTATTTACATTTCTTGCATCTTTCATACACTTTCACACTTGCACACTTGAATTTGAACTCTCATTTGCATTAATCGACCTCTATGAGGTTTTCCTTTGTTGGCCGCCACAATTCATGTGGTTTGGGACCAAAAACCTCACAAGAGACATCGTAGAATTTAGGATTGCATTTTCCTTTCCGTTTTGCATTCATATAGTCATATCCAACGTGCGATACATACATTGGGTAGAAAATTAGGAAAGGTAAGGTTAAGTCGCGCAACTAGCCTTGGCTAGGTCAAAGGGGTGCTTTGGATTCTATCCTTGCCTTCCCCTTTGTCAAACGTGACTCCCGAACCTTTTTCTTTGGCTTACGTGGACTAGGAGTCATTTTAAAAAGGGTTTATTACTACTTGGCTTTAAATCTCATTTTTAGGTGACTTGGTACACCTTAAATCATTACCAAGTGGCGACTCCAAACTTTTCTTTTCAAACCCTTTTTAAAACTATTTTTTGGGTCAAATCGTCGCTTTCCAAGTCCCATTGAGACCCATGTCTTTTCAACTCACAAAAATCATTTTCCAATCACAATTGAATTAAAAACATCTTTCTCAAACCATTTATTTTTTCTTATCAAAAAATGGGGCGCGACAAACCCCATCTTCACGGTTTATAGCATCAGGAAGTCAGACTTTTTGGGATGTGAAATTTTGGGTCAGTGGAGCAGCAGTTGAAGAATTCTTTTGCCTTTCGTCTGATAACCAGCAAAACAGAGACCACCTAATAGGGTTCTCAATTTCTTTGCCTCCCTTTTGTTTTGAAATTTTTTGATCCTTCAACACACTGAAATTAGAAAAAAAACAATTAATTGAGAGATTGATCTATGCTGAGGGGGCTGAAAACGGTCTTGAGTTTACTATTGTTAGTTTAACTGGATTGGTCCTAAAATAGATTTCATACCTGGAATTGATGGCCCAGTGAATGGACAGACCAAGGAATGAATGTAGAGAAGAGGATTTACCTATGAAATAGTTGAAATTTGGCCAGCTTATATGGGATCAATAAACAATCTCAGTTTTATTTCAAAGGTGATTTACACAAATAGACAAGCTAAAAGAGTTCATGCGTGATTGTTGTACAGCTAACTTATCAGTGTGGGTACTCACACACCAAATCATTCTTCTTCCAGAATGCGTTTCTAGTATAGTACAGGTAGCTTGAACCGCATGGCTTATAGATTCGAGATCTATCTTCTATGTTTTCATTAATTGATTTGCAAAATCAATTATATGTGTTAATTATTGACTCCATATATAGTAGCAGTGGTTTTGGGGTTGGGGGGCGGCTAATATTATTTACAACCATAATAAATTTGTATCCAACTCCGTAATAGCTAATAGGATGTTTCTTTTAGTATCATGATTTTTTTTAAAAAAAAAAGAAGTGAAAGCGATGGATCAAGCTATAAATTTATAATACATTGATTTTCCTTTTTTAGGGGTGGAAATGAAGCAGCTCATACATCATCACCACATTAGCCCTGTAGACTAAGACAACTGAGATTGTTCTTTCTCTTGCCCATGTTCCACCTTCTTTCCCATTACCAGATTTTTTTTTTTTATTAATGCAACTAATGAACCAAAACTTTTTTTTTCCTTGTGCTCAGAAGTTATAAGAACTAGCGATACAGAGAAGTTTAATGTAGTAGCATCAGGTTTCAGTTATTTATATAGTTGAAGCATAGGTCATGCGTGATGCCAAGATTTGCATATGATGGCCAAAATGAAGTCTAGTTTGACCATTCTTGCATTTTATAGAGTTCAATTTCCTTCCCCTTTCATCCGTAATAGTAATATTGAAAAAGTTGGTTTGCGTACTGGACATTAGAAACTTCTTTTCACTTAATAGGCTTGATATGTGATGATAAATTACTCATATCTGCTCAATAATTTTTTGACATAAATGCTTTTTTCATTTTTTGAGTATTGACATCTCATCTGTGTTTTGCTAATTCCTTTTTCAAAATTGCAGCACCAAAAACCAAACCAAAGAAAAAAAATTGCTGCTTGTTAGCAGGTCTTGCAATTCTTTCTACGGATCTATTGAGTATATCTATATGGTTCATTGTCATATACGCCACATTTTTTTTCACTGTCAAAGTGTTACTAGTCTACAAGGATCATGAAACTCAATGTTGGTCTTAAGGGCGGCATTTTAGTAGGAAGACGTGTGATGCTTTGTCTAAGACACTTTGGAGAACTACAGAAGGATAGATGTACTGTTTGTAACTTGTGGTCATTCATCTTTTGCTTAATGCATACCACAACTATACGGGATCATGTTGTATCATTTTGTTTTGCCTCTTCAGGCTTCATTTCCATAATATAATATTCTTTTTGTGACTAAAAAAAAAAGTGGTGACTAAGTCAAGCTTATTCCATCAATGCAGTTTCAAGTTTGTAGCGGCCATCATCTTTGATTCCATCCTGCGAGCACTGATCGTTGATTCCCTTTCCCCTTGGAGCAAATTGGAGTTGTTGGTAAGCAAAATTATACATTCAGTTTCTGCTACTCTTAGGTTACCAATACATTAAAGTTCGTGGCAGTTATTTTCAATTGGGTAGAACTTCTATTGCTGATTAGTTTGGTTGCTAATATTTTGTCTAAGTTCTCTATCTCAAATTGATATTGGCTACATTATTGGACTAATTTTGAATTTTGTAGACTGTTATTCTTTTGTGCCTACCATCTGTTTGATAGTTTGTGTCTTACAATCTGGAATTGAACTTTTGCTGTCTTTCCTTTTGATATCATTCTGTTTTGATACTTTTGGATTAGTTCTTATTACTCAAATGTCTAGAACACCTGGATATGTGAACATTCTGTTTTGATATGTCTAGAACACTTGGATTGGTTCTAACATTCTGTTTTGATACTTTTGGTATCTTTACTTTAGAAGATATTCCATGAGTGATTTGTGTCTTCTATGAATCTCGTTGAAATGCTAATGAGGCTTTTTTTCTTTTTATAATTAGAATCTATGTGAACATGGATAAAAGATGGATGAGTATGTCACGATCAAGTGATGAGTATAAAGCTAGTTTAGAAGATTTTCTTGATTTTGCATTTACGAATGGAAGTATAGGGGAGATGATTTTATGTCCATGCATTAGGTGTGGGAATGGGGTATTTGTCACGAGAGAGCAGGCCAAATCACACTTGATATGGAAAGGGTTTATTAAGGGATATACTCAATGGTTAGCTCATGGAGAGGTATCTTCGAATTTGCATCATACATCTTCACATGGCTCATCAAATGAAGTTCTACCACTCAATCCCATAGATGATATGCAGGGGTTGTTACAAGATGCATTAGGAGTTCTAAATCGGGACCTAGATATGGGAGAAAGATTAGAAACAGAACAGCCGAATATTGATGCAGAAAAATTCTACAATTTAATAAATGATTCGAAGCAGCCTCTTTATCCAAATTGCCCGCAATTCTCTAAACTATCTTTTCTGGTCCGTTTGTTACATATTAAATGTCTCAGCAAAATGCCCGATTCTGTATTTAATACACTTCTTGATTTGTTGAGGCAAGCACTCCCAGAAGGTGTAAATCTACCCAATTCTTATTATGAAGCAAAAAAAATAATGAAAGAACTAGGACTTGGATACAAAAAATATGATGCATGTCCTAATGATTGCACATTGTATTGGGGAAAAGATGAATCAAAGATAAAATGTGACACTTGTAAGCATCTACGGTGGGAAGGAACAAAGGATGATCCTACTGGTGAAAAAAGAAAGGTTCCCCACAAGGTTTTGTGGCACTTTCCGCTTAAACCCAGATTACAGCGTCTGTTCATGTCATCTAAAACAGCATCTTTCATGAAATGGCATGTCGATGGTCGTACTAAGGATGGTCGCATGAGACATCCTGCAGATACTCCAGTTTGGCAATCATTTGATTACCAAAATCCCGAATTTGCAAAAGATCCTCGTAATGTCAGATTGGGTTTAGCTTCTGATGGATTTAATCCATTTAAAAATATGAATGTGAACCATAGTACATGGCCGGTAGTACTGATACCTTATAATTTGCCACCATGGATGTGCATGAAACAGCCATACTTTATGCTGTCACTACTCATTCCTGGCCCATATGCACCTGGGAATAACATTGATGTTTACCTTCAACCTCTTATAGCTGAGTTGAAGGAATTGTGGGATATAGGTGTGACCACTTATGATGCATCATCAAAGGAAAATTTTCAGATGCATGCTGCTTTACTTTGGACCATTAGTGATTTTCCTGGTTATGCTAATTTATCTGGTTGGAGTACTAAAGGTTATTTAGCATGTCTAGTATGTCATAAGCACACCGTTTCACACCATTTAAGACATGGTTCAAAACAATGTTACATGGGTCATCGGCGATTTCTGGAAAATGAGCATCCATATCGAAAAGATAAACGTCACTTTGATGGAAAGGAAGAACATGGAGTTGCACCACCTCGCTTGACAGGTGATATGATCTTGGAGGAGTTGAGATCTTATAAAATCAAATTTGGGAAGGCAGTCAATGATAACCCTGAATTATCCTTTAACTGGAAGAAACAAAGCATTTTTTTGACTTGCCATATTGGAAGAACAATTTGTTACGTCATTGTCTTGATGTCATGCATATTGAAAAAAATGTATGTGAGACTATAGTTAGAACATTATTGAATGTGGATGGCAAGTATGATAACCTTGGTGTACGGCGTGATTTGGAAGAAATGGGCATACGAGCAGGTCTTCATCCTATTACAGATGAGTTTGGGAGAGCATACTTGCCTCCAACATGTTTCTATTTGGATAAGAAGGAGAAAGAGTTATTCTGTAAAATTCTGAAAAAGGTTAAAGTACCGGATGGTTATTCAGCCACAATTTCGAAGTCCGTGCATTTGAAACCTCCCAAACTAACCGGACTTAAGAGTCATGACAATCACATATTATTGCAGCAACTGTTACCACTCTGTTATAGAAAACTTCTTCCAAAATCGGTGCTGTCTCCATTGATAAAGCTGTCCAAATACTTTAGAGATTTATGTTGTAAAGCTCTTTGTCCTCGGGAACTACTTCGTATGGAAAAGGAAATTGCTGTTGTACTATGCCAGTTAGAGCGTGTGTTTCCACCATCATTTTTTGTTATAATGGTGCATTTGACCGGTCATTTAGCAACCGAAGCAAGGATAGCTGGTCCAGTACATTATCGCTGGATGTATCCGATTGAAAGGTAACTTTTATAACTTTATAATTTCTATTTTATTGCTATGTGAGTTTCATTATTAATCACTTACTACTTTTGTAATTGTCTTAGGTACCTATGCACTTTGAAAAATTATGTCTGAAATAGAAGTCGGCCTAAAGGTTCAATTGCAGAGGGGTACCTAGTTGATGAGTGCTTGACATTTTGCTCTCTCTACTTATCTGATGAAGTGATAACTAAGTTCAATCGATCAAGTAGAAATGAAGATGGAGGTGAAAGTTCAACTAAAGGACTTGAGATTTTTTCTATACAAGGTCGGCCATTAGGTTAAGAAAATTCAGTTGTAATGGATGATGAAACCATAAAAAAAGCACATCAGTATGTGATATTCAATTGTGAAGCCATGGATCCATATATCAAGTAAGTAATTGTACTCTATACTTGTTTTATAAAATTAATCATCTTTTAATAATGATAGATGTATATAGACAACTATCTTAATTGACTTTTATAATTGATGAAGCCAACACCGTAAATTGGTTGAAGAGCAGCATTTGCGTAGTTCAAGACATGAAAAGGAGCGAATTCATAGTGAGACATTTGCAAATTGGTTTGATAACCATGTGAGTTAATATACAAAGTATCACTGTACTTTTAGCTGTCCAAATTTGTATTATTATTTTATTAATTTACTTTTTTATTTTGCATAGGTGGATGATTTTCTACCCGAGAATGAAGTTATCTCAAAAGATTTGAGATTATTGGCCAAGGGTCCAAATGTTGTGGGTTTGAAGTATGAGAGATACATTGTGAATGGTTTTAGATTCCATACAAAAAATTTGGAGAGCAAAAGAAAAAATCAGAATAGCGGGGTGATTGTTACTGCAATAACTTCAAGTTTCGCAAGCACCAAGGATATGAATCCGGTTTCAAGTGACTTGGCCTATTATGGTGTCTTAAAGGATATTCTAGAATTGGACTATGGTGGAGGTCAAAGAGTGGTTTTGTTTGACTGTGATTGGGTCTCTAAGGGGAAACGATTGAAACAAGATGATGATGGGTTTACACTTGTAAATTTTATGAATGTGAAGCGCCACCATGAACCCTTCGTTCTTGCATCCCAAGTGAAGCAAGTATTTTACGTGGAGGATCCTTTGGATAAGGGATGGAATGTTGTTATTCCAACTGTACCACGAGATGATTTGAAGATGGATCCTATAGATGTTGAGATGTACTTGCAAAGTCAGCCTTCAAGTAGTCATCAAAGTGTTATATTTGATGACATTAATTGGGTTCGACAAGGTGTCATAGGAGAAATAGTTGATACTACTAGAGTGGCATCCAGTTCCAAGGGATGATCTTTTATTATCTTATATAAATTAAATGAATGTTATCTATTGATTTTGCTTTAATGTCCAGTAAATTCGGTTGCTTTTTATGTATTGAATTGTGGTGTATCTACATGCTTAAATTTTTTATGCCTTATTGTTTATTACATGGTAATATGCTGTTAGCTGTACACTTTTTGTTATGAATTTAAAATTGTAGTTGTACAAATATGGCGAGAACAAGAGGAGGAAAAAGCTATCGAGGAGAAAGGAGCTTTCAATTGCGTGATGAAGATCCTGAAAATTTGGAAAATGAGGAAGGCACTGGTATGTTATTCATTACTAATTACTTAATATTTCATTTACATATAATAGTTGCTACTTCATAAGATATGTCATAATTGTCTATTATACTTGCAGGTGGTGGTTCTGATGATGAGGAGCCTAAGAAAACTCGGGGACCAACTTATATGAGACACATTTGGGGTAGACATGGTACTGACAAGCGAATTAAAGTGAAATTCAATACACTTGGTGAGCCAGTTGGTACAAATAGAAGCAAATTCAATGAATTTTTGGGAGCATTGGCAAGAATTGGAAAATATGCACCAATTGACATTGATAGTTGGCGTAAGATTCCCAAGTCTTTAAAGAATGACATGATAGATGTAGTAAAAGGTATCCATTTCTTGAACCTGCTACATTAGTTGAATGCTTATTCTCTTTTAATTGAGTATTCAATATTACAGGAAAAATTTGATCTCCCTGTTGGCATAGAAGAACGAGTTAAGCAATCAATAGGAAAGAAATGGAGAAGCTGGAAGCATGCTCTCAAGAAAACTTATTTCAGTCCAAATGAATCAATTGAAAGTCAAGTGCTTAAAAGACCAAAACGAGTTCTTCCACAGCAATGGAGAAATATCTTAACTAAATGGCTTTCCGAAGAGTCAAAGGTATGAAATGTTGTCATAGTAGTGATCATTTTTTCTGTTTGCCTATACTTAACTATTTTCTGTTATGTTTAACTATGTAGAGAATATCTGCAACAAACAAGAAGCATCGAGAGAAGAAAAAGATGAATCATAGTACAGGGAAAAAGCCATTTGCTCAAGTTCGAGTAGAAAAGGTATAATATTAAATTGGTAACAACGTCTAATTTTTCATTCTAATATATTCTTTGGATGTACTATTATATGTAGGAAAAAAAGGTTGGGCATCCTCTCTCTAGAGCAGATATGTTCACCATATGCTACACTAATTCTAATGGAGTGCCATCTAGTTATAAAGTTGGGGAAAAAATGGTATGTTATTGCTGCTTATTCACTTCATTCATAAACAGGCCTTTTCTATTACGATAAGAATGAGAATATAATAACTTTGAATTGTTAATTTTAGGAGGAGATGGAAGGCTTAAAAAATCAACTTCCAGAAGGAGAAGAAGATAGTGTGGGTAGGAATGACGTGTTTGCAAGAGTAATGGGTGAAGAAAGGAGTGGAAGAGTTCGTACATATGGTTTAGGAGTTACACAATCTGATTTGTGGGGTGATATACCAAGTCGTTCAACATGTTTTCGCTTGGTTATGGAACAAAGCGCTGCGATGTCAAAAATGGAGCGAAGAATTCAGCAACTAGAATCAATTCAACAAGGAAGATCACAAGGACAAAGTTCGCCATCTCAGCAAAGATATACTTCACAGTCATCAAATGCTATTCTTTGGCCAATAAAAGTAATAAACAGTTCAATTATGACCTTTTTTAGATGTTGCGTTCACAAATGGTTTTCATGAACATGTTTGTAATTGCTTTATGTTAATTGTGGAGATTCTTGTTTTGGATATCATTATTGATTGTAATGGACTGTACTTTGGTTTTGGTACTTGTTGTGGCTGTCATTTTGGGTTGATTCTTGTGGTATTGTGTATTGAATATCTGTTCAAGACTTGCTCTCTTATATGTGGTTATATATTTTTAAGGTTGGGGATAAAGTTACAGTAAGAAGCATGGTTGATTCGAGCAAAATTTGTGCTGTTGGAGTGGTTAGAAATTTGGATCCAACTTCTGAAGTTGGTGACACACATTTGGGATCATATTGGTGTGAAATCCATGTGAATGTGCCTGTAGAGAATGATGAAGAGCTAATGAGGCCATACCATAATTTTCGTAAGATTGGAGATGCAATTGGAGTAGCTATTGCTTGGCCAATAAGCCTGGTAATCTTTTTATCTTATCTTTATCATTTGTTTAACTTAGTTTTTATTTATTTTCTAACATTAAAACTGTAAAAGAAGAGCTGTAGATGTGATTGTAACTCCTATTTCTTGGTTTATGACACTTGTAGGTGATTCTTGAAGAAAACTAAAGGATCCTTGGGTCAAATGGCTATTTTGTGAAGACATTGTCAATGCGTTTTTTGTTGAGTTCTTGTTGAACTATTGCTTCTTTGATATGTATTGGCAATGCTACTGCAATACTCATAACTTTTGAAAAATCTCTGAATTGGCATGTAATTTGTTGACATAGTAGTCATGTAAGTTACTTGGATGATGTACTTTTGCACCAGTTTGGCTGCTTGTATTGCACTAATTACTATGAAAATGTAAATCACCTTGATTTTCCTTTATAAGATGGTACTAATAATTTTATTATTCCAAAAATTAGAATCTATATTGTGCAGGCAGGATGAAATGTGATTCTGCTTTTGGGTATGAAAATCCGGATGGTACACAGGGCTAATGCAATATGATGTATTGACACTTAAAAGTGTCACCACTTCGAGTTTTGCAGTTCATAATATTCACAAATTTTCATGTTAACAAGTGTCAGAACAACCTAATCTAGTTACACCATAAAAGTGTCATAATATTTCATTTTACTTATACTGCAAATGTGTCATAATATCTTATTGTACTTACATAATAGAAGTGTCATGATAGATCCAATATATGACAGGCATCGAGTGTCACTTTAGATTCATATAACCTTACCTGTTCTCCAGCATTTCTTGTCATTTAAAAGTGTCATTAAAACGATAAATAATAACATTTATAAATGCCAACAGAACTACAAATTAGGACTCGTACAACTGTCATAAACCTATAGTGACGCTGGAATGGACAACGTTTCTAGCATAGCGTCATCATAGATCAAACGTCATTACATCGAGCTATAATGACGCTTTTAAATGTCGTAAAACGACATTTTTGTAGTAGTGATGCACACTTCCACTTATTTTTCTTATATATTTTTTTGTTTTTGTGTTTTGTTCTTTTTTCTTTTTTTCCCTTAAACAAACAAAATTAAATAAATAAGAACGAATGCTAATAATAAAGTAAGAAATTAAACTAAAAGAAATAAAATAAATTTAAAAATGGAACTGAGAAAAATTTGGTGTCTACAGTTTGCCCATTTTTATCTGAGTTTCGAAGAAATTCGAGACAAAGACGTAGACACCAAATACTTACCTGTAATTATTTTGCCATGTACTGAAACAAACACAAAAAGGTCAGTGGGATAAAACCCGAGCCTGCCGAGGTTGATAGGACAAAAATTTGATCCCGACATGTTGTACAAAAGACACGTCAGTGGGTTAGACCCCATGCTGACGGATATATAAAAATAAAACACACGTTAGTGAGATTGATGCAATATTTAATGATGACGGGATGAAGTGCAGTGAAATGAAGTGTTAGTGGGACTGACTCATGTCTAACGATAAGATGTAATGCACATGTTCAATGGCAATGTGATGAAATGCACACTAGTGGGACTAACCCATGTTTAGTGGCAATGAAATTCAATAAGATAAAACAGTCAGTGGGATACAACCCAAGCCTGCCTTGATAATCGGTCGGTCAGTGGGATAGCACCCAAACCTGCCTTCATTCTTCATTTGATCAGTGGGATGAATACCCGAGCCTGCCTTGATGATCGGTCGGTCAATGGGATAGCACCCCAACCTGCCTTCAATTGGTCACTTGGATCAATAATTGGTCAGTGGGATCAACACCCGAGCCTTCGATTGGTCAATTGGTCAGTGGGATCAGCACCCAAGCCTACCTTCAATTGGTTAGTGGGATCAACACCCGAGCCTGCCTTCAATCAGTTAGTGGGAGCCATACCCGAGCCTGCCGACATTGTTTTAATTGGTCAGTGGGATCAATACCCGAGCCTGCCTTCAATTGGTCAGTAAGAAAAATATCTGAACCAACCGTACTATTGATCAGTGGGATAACAACCCGAGCCTGCCATAGCATCGGCCAGTGGATAATATCTGAACTGCCTTCAATTGGTCGGTGGGATCCATACCCGAGCCTGTCGACATTGTTTTAATTGGTCAGTGGGATCTATACCCGAGCCTGCCTTCAATTGGTCAATTGGTCAATTGGTCAGTGGGATCAACACCCGAGCCTGCCTTCAATTGGTCAGTGGGATCCATACCCGAGCCTGCCTTCAATTGGTTATTTGGATCAATAATTGGTCAGTGGGATCAACACCCGAGCCTGCTTTCGATTGGTCAATTGGTCAGTAGGATCAGCACTCGAGCCTGCCTTCAATTGGTCAGTTGGATCAATAATTGGTCAGTGTGATCAGCACCCGAGCCTGCCTTCAATTGGTTACTTGGATCAATAATTAAGTGTTATTGTCAAGAAAGGGGGGATAGAAGGGTGCGCGGCATACGTTGAGACATTGCCAACAAGAATTAAATAAGAAACAAGAAATTGATTTTGATTTTCTGACTTTTGATTTTGGATTTTTTTGGATTTTTGTTTTGTTTTTGGATTTTTTTTGGATTTTTTATTTTTGATATTTTCGAGAGAATTTTTTTCAAAAATAATTTGCCCCAGTGTCGAACCCTTTCTCTTTCTTTCTTCTTACTCCACTTTTCCGCTATCTGCCCTCCGCCACAATAGATGCTTCTTCATCATTTCAGCCATAAATACCTGCATAGGGGGCTTATCAAAGTACAACATGCACTTAAATTTCATGAAAAGAGCAGTGTGATAGATTCGAAAATGTCTTATTTGACTCT